CTATCTATCTGCATAGTTATTGAACATGTCCCACAAATCAAAAAGGGCTTCTCCCCTGTGGGTTTAACTGTTAAAAACCAATCAAAGTGAGTGAAACTGAAAAACGTCTGAAAAGTGACACAATCCTGGACAAACGGTAGTGATCTGGTTACCCTGAGTAGACTTCAGATCATTTTGCCCCTTCGCTAGTTTGTACACTCATTTCCTAATATTGCATTGTCATGTAATTGCTTCCTGTTTCCAAAACAAACCCCAGTTATACTCTATTATTATGTGTTTTTATCATCGTATTTTGTTATTTTTAGGAATTCTATCTCCAATCAAATTTAACGTCATTAAATATGACCTGTAAACGACTTGTTCATCCGTTCTATTTTGTTTTCAGTCTTTGTTTTAATCAGTTAACGCCTTTAAATCATGACAAAATAAGTGAATTTCTGTTTTAGATTTTAATAAAGTCATTAACTATTAACATATTACTGTAGACTACAACTACAAAAAACAAACATGTAAACCATCTTTTTTTAAAAGGTGTAACAAAAAAGGTGTTTAAGACCTTCAGTATACGAAATTGTTTCTGTCTGTAAGGTCTGGTACTAAACAACCAAAAGTAAAAGGCTACTAAACAGCAAAGGGGCAGAATGAGCATAAATAAATGATTTTAACATGATGAAAAAAATGTTTAAATCAAGAATATTCTCTAAGTTTTAGACATTCGTGTGGTATAACAGAGTTTCTACCTTTTCTTAGCCCTGCTTCCCAAATCCGCCATCTGGAGTTTAGCTGCTCTTGGCTGCACAATTATGTCTTGTTTGCTAAGTGTCTGCTGCTGTAAAATGAAGAAGAAAAGGGAACAAGTTGACGATGAAGAAGAACCTGCCGCAAACGACAAGGTGAGATACTCAGCTGGAGCTAATTGGTAATGCATGTCTATTTAGAAGTGTCAAATATGATTAACAGGAATCTGTTTTATCTAAAATGCAGATGGACCCTGAATCTGTTGCACTGCAGTCAAACCAAGTCTCCGTGCCCTCTAATTGATCTGCAGACTCACTGGTTTGTACTTTATTTATTCCTCCCATCTACAGAGGAAAGTTGTAAAGTAATGATTATAGTTAAATTTAAATTTTCAATGAGGGAAACTTAGAACATTTTTACCTCTAAACAACAAAGGCTGCAAATGACTGCCTTGGTAAAATGATAATGGTCTCTGATGTAAGCTGTAAGGTTATGGCTATGCTTTAAACTATAGAAAATGTGTTTTACAATTCAGAAATCAAAATTGCAAGCTTATGTAAGCTGCATTATTGCAGAGATGAAGAGAGCTAAATATGGGAAGCAGCTGAAGTTAAAAGAAAATGTACCTCAGCACCACGGAGCCTATAAATTAAACTGTTGTGAATGACTTATTGAAAAGTTATGGTCACTATTTGATATTTTGTGTTTAAATATGAGTCTAAATAAACTCAGACATGTATCTGCCTTTTTCCCCATCCAGCTGGCAGTTCAGATGGACATCAGAAGTCTCAATTTGACATGAAGGAAATCGACTCTGACGTGCTCCGCTTTGATGGTTACACCACTAAGATGCTCAGTTTCTTCTGAAAGATGTGATTTTTTTTAACAGCATGTACACCTTTAAAGCATTAGTCTGACATGTAGTTGTGTGTATTGGGTCAAAGGTGGCTTCTGCTGTTCTTCAGCTGAGAAACTCCTAAAATGGCTGCTGAATCAGTGCTTTTAGTGAATTAGAAATGCGCACTAGATGATGAAAGTATTTTAGGCAGATTACAGATTGTGATCATTTCAATGGATGAATGTTGTGTTAGTATTTGAGTTAAAACTGACCACTTCTAATATGGTTCTTTATAGAGCAGTCTGGGGTCAATGTTGCATTTCAAGTCGTTCAACAAAAACAATCGTAATTTAACTAAATGCATCAGAGTGTCATTCCAAAAGGTTGTGCATAGTTTTAAACCTCATACAGTTATCAGTGTCCTAAACTTCAAAAGGTTGGAACTACAGTAATCTTCTTAACTAACATTTATAACATCTAAACTGCAAATATTAGAGGCTTTCAAGGCCACTTGGGCTATGATGAATCCAAAGATTCAATTTATGTTTCAATCAAATCCATTTTTTTTTTTGATCAAATGTGTTGTTCAGTAACATAAGAAACACATACTTGTAATTTCTACCTCAGGGTTCAGTTTATAATTTAGTCAACTTCTTTGTGGTTTCTCTCTATTTTCATATGTGTCCACTATAAGGGTCTACATTAAGGTTATCGCTGTAACGTGATCCGAAGATTTTTAGTTTTTATCACGTTAAAGATGTTACTTGGAGCCAAACCTGTTTGCATCAGAATGACATGTACAGACCGGGTTGTAACGGTTGTTTTCAGTTGCCTGTTGAGCAATAATGAAACCTCTCATTAAGTTCAACCTTTACTGAGGTTGAACTTAATGAGCTGTTCGTTGTAGCAGGAACATTAAGCCTCTTATCCTTTAAGTGCTTGTTTAAATGCCATGTACATTTTGGCATTCTGGTGCCTTTTATTGTTTTTCGAACTCAAAGACCAACTGCAGTATGACTACCTCTCAAACTACAGAAATTTAAACCAATGGTGAGCAGCATGCCTTAAAAATCAGTAAATCTGCCTCATAGTTGTCTAAATGTGGATTTGTATTCAGTTGTTTTATCTTTATGGATTTCGAACACACTAACACTTACTAATCCAGGTTAGATGTTTCACTGTGGAGTGTCCTATTCTTCTGCTTGTCTTTCTCTATATAATCATATCAGCTTATCAGAAAGTGACCTTTTAACGTCATATTTAATAATCTGCTTTCTGCAAACCCTGCATGTATTCAAAGCAATCAGTCCCCTCTATAATCAATCAATGATTAAATTGTTGTATTCTATCTGATTTTAATCTTAAGGTAGCTCCCCTTTGCTTGCTAAAATCTTTATCTGATACTTAAAGGAAATGTAGTTTCATTAACAAACCTCTGGTCAAAGATCTTCAAATCGTGCGACCTATGCATTGGCCAATGACCATTTTAAACATTTTTAAAACTTTGGTTTTGATGTTAAAACTCTTTTAAATATGACTAATTTATTCCCTGCTTATGAGTTTTTACTTTCAATTAGTTCCGCTCAAATGTATTTAAATACATTCAATTTGTACATGAATCTACACATGGATTATCTAATGATAAATTTGCGCTGGATGCTATTACAGGAAGCAAGAAAACTAGGAAAATATGTGAAGGGTTCTAACCAACATGGGGGCAGAAGCATCGTGCTGTGTGCCTACTTTAGTGATGGTGGAATGTCCATTTCGCAAAACTGAGCTCTACTTTCTTCAGCTTCCACTCATCTCAACAGTTACAGTTAAACTTGGACCCAAGTAACTGTTCCATTTGGCCGGAAAAAAAAAAATATATATATATATTGAACATTATAAACACTGGATTTAGATTTGATAAAAAAGTAAGCATCAATCCTTTGAAAGGTCCAGCCTCAAGCAAATGGACTTCTGACCCTATATGTATAAATTATTCTGATTTATTGTTTTCCGTCATACATATTTTTAATGTGCCAATGAAATACTTTATCTCTTTGCTCTTTAAGCCATGCACTTCGAGGTCCAAAGAAGGAAGATTTTCCTCTTTGTATTTGCACCACCTCTAATAAATAATGCAAAATGTAAATGTAATTTATGTGTAAATTACGTATAAAAGACACTAACTTGTTATTTAACTACATTTTAATATATGACTAAATTTTTAGATATTTAAATGTTTTCCTATGTGTCTGTACCAGTGGTGAACAATCTTCACAGCCTTAAACGTCATATTTTCCAGGTAAAAAAGATGCTGGAACACAAAAGCTTGAATTGTTTTGATTATTTGTGCAGTTAAATTTTAAAGTCCAATTTTAATGTCCTCCATGTTTGTGTTCTCATTCTGTTTAAAGCACTGGACTTTTTGTTTTTGTTCTATTAAAGTAATGGTTTCACATTGGGTTTTACAGAGTCTTTTATATGTGTGAATGAATTATATTTTGGGAACTTTTTAGAATTAGTAAGTTAATTAATGAATCCATCTTTTCATTTCATTTTCAAGCCAGCTAGAAATACTAAATCAAAAAACATGACCGTTATGTTAATAGGTCTCCCAGAATTGCTCTTTATTGTGCCTGTAAATCATTAATAAACCTTTGTTTAAAGAAATCTTCAAACACCCAAAGGGAAAATGTTATAAAAGTTGACAAGGAAAATAAAATGTAAAATTGACAGACACAAAAGCCAACAATAAAGCAAAAAATAATAATAAAAATAAAACAACTGAAAGAACAGCTAAAGACAATTTTTAAAAAGTTCTGTAAAAGAAATGAGAATACCAATTGTTAAGAAAGCCTGTTAATTCCTTTGGAAGTAAAATTCTAGTTAAAAAGAAGTTTAAAAAGGGAAATGTATCACTAAAGTTGGTCATCACAGTGAGACAAAAGCTGAGTTTTAGAGCAAAAACAAAAGGCTCTGTCTCCCTGAGTCACAAGATGAGTCTTAACATCTAGAAATAGCATTTATGACCTCAAGCTTCTTCTGGGGGGATGTTCTTCTTAAAGCTTGATTAGATAAAAACCTTGTCAAACCATTAACTCGCTTAAAAGCCAGTATCAAAATATAGAAATTGGTCCTTAAATCTTTGTGCAGCCAGGTTCAAAATATGGGTAATGTGCTCACATGTATCAGTCAAAGCCATGAAATGTAAATTGCGTTTGGTTTTTTTCTAATCAATATTTAATTATAAAGCTTGACTGGACTTCTGCATTAACCAGTTTATCAAATTGGCAAAAATCACACCACAATCCTGGACAGCAGTGTAATTAAAATAACAAAAAGAACCAATAACATGGCTACATTTTTAAAGTAAATTGTATTTTCAGAAATGTATCTTTTCTCTGATTTCATTCAAATGTAAGATGTTTTCAACAGTTAACAAGTTTCCATACAGAAAGGCTTCCCCTTTCTCACAACAGAGGATAAATGTGCATATCATCAGTAGGTTATTTAACTGTAACTCACTAAAGCAGTTAACACACATTTTACTATTATTTATTTACATGGAAGCCATATTGGAACTGATTTTGCTTCATGATATCACACATAAAAGTTTGTCATAAAATTCCAATAAAATAGAAACATATTTTTGTGGAGATTGTCTTTTTTTCAGCTATAGTAACAAACAGATGTTAATGTTAATATATACAATTTGTTATGATTACCTTATTGTGTATATATATATATATATATATATATATATAAATAAATGATTTTTCTTTAAAATTTGTTTC